AGAAAAATTCCAGAAGTAAAAAGATGTATAATTCTACCATCTACCAAAATTTGCTTAATTTTTTCATGTTTTCTTCTAGACGTTGACAAAACTCACATATTTTTATTGAAATCGGGCAAAGGCATTTTGCATTCTGCTTTTTCCCTGCTGTACATCATTTCATACACCTTTCATGTGCTACGTAGCATTCAAATTTGCAGTCTTTAATGGTACAATAGGTTTCAAGTTTACAGACCACACACTATAATTTGTGTAACTGCCTCGTTTAAACCTTTATATTCTTTCCATTTCCCCCTATTTATTAATGGTCACAAGGCAAAGAACATCTTTGTATGCAGAGCTTTTCCCTGTTCTTTTTGACTTATATTCTTAGAATAAATTCCTAGGAATAAAATACCTAATCTTCCCTTCACCCCCCAAACTCTTACCACTTTTTCTTCCTCTCTCTACTCCAATAACCTCTTGCTTCTTTAGTCTTTTTTCACCCCTTTGCCTTTTTGCTTATTCCCTTGCCTTCTCTAACGTAACCGATCTTTGTCAGCTGGCTCTTCCTAGCGCTTGTTCCGGTACTAAAAAAGCTCTCTTGCCCTGAAGCCCCAGCTCAACCTCACCACCTCTTAGGTGGTGCAACACTGCGCAATGCACTGTGAGCGCTGCTTCTTGCTCTAATTCCTTAAGCCTTCCTCTCTCGTCACTGTGTCTGCTTCCTTCGCTCCACTCCTTTGCTGAGCTTAAAGTCTGTCGGTGATGTCTCTGTAAGTCCAAGGGCTTTTTTCCCTATTTTTATCTTCCCATTGGAGCTGCCGCTCTGAAACAACCTCCCTACTGTTCTTAGGCCTTTCTCCTTCCCCTCCTGTCCTGCCTCTACTCACGGTTTGTCTCTTTCATGCAACTTTCTCAGTGGGTTGGGATATGCCCGCCCTTTTCGGTCCACATTCAACCCAGGCATATCTCATTCCTTTCACTCAACTTCGCCACATTCTAAGTTGTTTTACTCTCCTTTGAATGAAGATGAAGGAGGGAAAAGTGAACACTTGCAGGCAGACAACATTGAGAGTCCTCTACTCACAGCTTCGAAATGATCAAACCCTTGAGGTAAGTTCAAGGATCACGGGCCATACTCTGGTAGTCACAGAAGATCTGCAAAGGGAGGTCCATGGATTAGCAGCACCGGGGTCACCTGGGAGCTTGCTAGAAATGCGGAATTGTAGGCTCCACCTCAGCCCTACTGAATCAGAATCTAGGCTTTTAACATAATCCCCAGCGATTCGCATGTGCAATGAATCAAAAGCAGCACTGGTCCAGTGGACCACTGAGTCCCTGCCATGAAAACCCTCCATCAAAATGGCTCCAAGGACCCCTTGGGAACCTCAAACCTATGATTTTTCATCTCTAGCTGGGCAAAGTTTGGCGTAAGGGTGATCTGGCTATCACAGCTGTCACCCCTTTGATGGTAGCTGACCAATTGACATCTGGCTAGCGGTCTCCCTTTGCTTCATTCTAGGTGCAGATACATTCCTCTGAAGCTGCAAAAGAGTTTGAAGAAGACAATCTCTCTCAAGAGATGAAGAGTGGTCTTCAATCAAGAAACAGACAAGTTTACAGAATCTTTGGTAGAGTGGACAAACCCTTTAGGGGTTGGGAAACATTGTTTCTATAAACTTTCCCAACAACAATGCGTATGAACAACATAGAACCAAAAAGACAAGAAATGTTTATATTCTTCATTCTCTCACTCAGTAAATATTTATTAAGCACCTACTACGTGCCAAACACTATTCTAGCTGCTGGGGATACAGCAGGGAACAAAACAGACAAAGTCTTTGCCTTAGTAGAGTTTACATTCTAGGGAATGGAGATGAACAGCAAACAAGCACATAATTCGTCTTATAGTGATAGTGCTTTAAAGAAAAATAGAGTGGTGGAGCCCGCTGTTTAGGATGGGTGTTTAGGGAAGGCCTCTCCAAGGTGAAGACATTTGGGAATATATGTGAATGAAATGAGGGAGCAAGCCATCCAGATTATTTGCGGCAAGAGAATTCCAAGCAGAGGAAACAGCTAATGCAAAGACCCTGAGGTAGGAACATGTTTGGCATGTTCAAAGAATAGCAAAAGGACCAATGAGTGTGGTTGGAGCAGATTAATCAAGGAAGAGGGCGGAATGAGATAAGACTGAAGAGGTGAGTGGAACCAAATCACATAGGAGCTTAGCTTTTATGCCAAGTGCGATGGGAGCCACTGCAAGGTTTTGAGCAGAGGTGTGATATGATACAATCTACATTTTAAAAGCCTCTCTCTGGCTGCTCTGTGGGGAATGGACTCTCAGGGGGCAAGAGTGGAAGCAGGGAGGCCTAATAACAGGTTGCTGTAAGGGTGCGCGTGGTTGGTTTAGATTAGGGTGGTCTTGGCAGTGGTGGGGAGAAAGCGTCCAACAATCTCAACATCCCTATCAAATACTAGTTAAAAAGTTATCACCAGGCAACTAAAGTGAATTTTTAAAATCTTGGATGGGAAACTGGCTTAGATGCAGAAAACTAAGGTAGGAATAATAGGGCTTCTCTGGGTTGAGCAATGTAAACAGCATCCTCTGGGAATCAGTGTTATTTAACATTTCAGAAACGATGAAGAAAAAGAAATACTTTGAGACATTTCTAGGTACATAAATTATACTTTGCTTCCCATATAGTAAAATGTCAAGTCAATAGGGAGCATATTCTGGAACATTTCTAAAGCTATGTAAGTAAACTGGAAAGAGTCTTGCCACATGGACAAGCATAAGGCAGCTCACATAGGGGAAGACAATTCAGATGACATCTTTAAGACAATGAACTCTGAATGTGAACTGCTGTTTGCCACCAAGGTGAGGAATCTATAGAAGTTGTTGTAGACTCTTTCAAGACATCAGCTCTTCTAAAATCTAAAAGGCCAGCAAAAGTTTTGGCTGTCCAGAATAAAGGCAAAA